CTTCTCGGCGACTCGTTTTTTTAGCTTTCTCTGTGGACGATCGACGACAATTGAGGGCAATCAACAAAAACATTCCTCTCTTGTGCTTCAAATCCATCTCAATTGAACTTCAAGTCGACGATCATCAAAACATCAACTTCCATTTATTCCCAATTGAACTTCAAATCAATCTCCTACACTCAATTAAAGACCAATGGTGAACAATTGGGTAGATAACAATGAAGATACACAAGTAAGTTGTCAAGAATTTTGATTTCATGTGTTATGAAGTTTGTGTTTTTTTACTGTCTTTCAAGATTTATGTTATCATGCGACAATGAATGGAACGAAACTGCTTCTGAAACTCTTTTTTTTCTCCTCTTACTTTGATTTCTGAAACTCTTTCAAGATTTATATTATCCTATCTTGCTTAACAGCAGTGGATATGTTACGTCATTAATTCTTGTTCTTGAAGTGAAGTAATTTTAGCCCTGTTGCCAAATAGAATAAACAGGGGGATTTTTGTGTATTGTGCAATGTGCAGTGGAGAAAATAAGATTTTTGTGTATTATGTATCGGTTCTTATTTTTCATTCCCAAAATGTTGTTTTCTTTTTTAATTTTAACTGTTTTTCTCCTCCTGTGCAAACTTTTGGAGAATTGGTTTGATTTTTAGATAAAAACACTAAGCCATTAGTTGGTTGTTGAAATTTAATGGGTTGTTTAATTCGGTTGGTAATTTACATTGTATCCTCTGTCAATTTGCAGCTTCTAAACCCCTTTTGCAGACCATTCTTTTCTCCAATTTACCAAAATACCCTTATTCTAAAATCATAGATATTGCTTCATAGAACTAAGCTCAAATTCAAACATAATGGCTATCACACATCCTCGTCACGTCATACTTTTTTTTTCAATCACACATAATGGTTGATTGTATGTATATAAAATTTTTGAGTTGTTTACAGCAACAAAAGGAGGGATATGTTATGTCCAAAACAACTGGGAATGATTAATCTAATTGTTTGTCTGTTAGAAACATAATCGATACCAACAATTATCCAATAGTCAAATACATATATTTTTTTTGTTTCAGATACATGTTAAATGTAATTTTTTTAACCCAACTTTGTTATATCACGTTACTTTTTTTTTTTATAAATAAAATCAATGTCGTCAATAACCTAAATGTAATTTTTTGTTTATTAATTTTTTATAACCGTTGAAAGATTATGCAATTGAGGTAATTACAAAAAAAAAATTTGGGTTTTCCGGTTCTAAACCCATTTTACCCGGTTCCACCTTACCCACTTTTCTATTTCCGGGTTTTTCGGTTCTAGACCCACTTTACCCGTACCGTACCCGGAACCGAATCGGAACCGTTTCCTATATACCGGTCCGGTTTCCGGTTCTAAAAAATCTCGTTAAACGGTTCCGGTTTTTCCGGGTCCGGGTCCATCCGGTCCGGGTTTGGACCCACTTTCATCCCTAGTGCCCAAGAAAATAAATATATTTATTTGGCATTTAGAACTTGGATGCCTCACAACAGGACCAACCTCGATTGTAGGGGTTGAAATTTCCTTCCAAACTTCTCCCTTTATGAAATGCATTTGACGAGACACGAACCATCTATTTTGTAATTGTTCATCCACTAAAGAGGTTGAGGCATTACTATTCAATTGGAGGAAGGACTTAACTCATTAAAATAAGTCTAATGGGATGGAAGTAATTGTGTGGATGACTAATAATCACAAAAGGGAAGCATAGGCATGTATTTGTTGGATGCTATTTTGAGGCCGTTCTTATGGATGCTTTGGACCTACATGAGCAGTTTAGTTTGTAAGTGTAAGATGGAAAACACCCTATGTTTTTTTCGGAGTTTAAACTATTTCAAATAAGTCTAATGGGATGGAAGTAATTGTGTGGATGACAAATAATCACAAACGGGAAGCATATGCATGTATTTGTTGGATGCTATTTTGAGGGTGTTCTTGTGTATGCTTTGGACCCACATGAACAGTTTAGTTATAAGTGTAAGATGGAAAACTCTCTATGTTTGTTTAGGAGTTTAAACTATTTACACTTTTATTGCTAAAGAGTAAGAAAAAAATAAGGGGGGGGGGGGGGGGGGGGGGAGTTTCAAAACAAAGATAAAATCTTTCAAAACTATGATATTAAAAATAATATGTATATATTGTGTAATGTCCCAAAAATAAAATCATAAAAAATTTCATTTTTATTAATAAAACATCAAACCATATCATTGTCATAAAACCAAGGTTATCAAAATGTATCGATACATCATCAATATCAGAGTAAATCATAAAATGCGGAAACATGTAGTGTGTGCTCTGCAATTATCTCGAGCTCTTTCATTTGAAAACTAAAGTACCTAAAACATAAACTGAAAACCGTAAGCACAAAGCTTAGTGAGTTACCCAAAATACCACATACTATACACACATAAATAAACACATAATGGGCCCCGCCCTGTCATCGGGCCCCGCCCGACATCGAGCACCGCTCGGTATACAGATCTGTAAGTCATCGGGCCCACCCAGTAAACATATAAAACATATAATCATATAAACATACAAATACATGCGAAAATCACAAAGATAATAGCATATCGTACAACCATCGGGCCCTGCCCACTAAGTATAACTGGCCCCGCCCAAACTCGCATAACATGCCTCACCCACAGACAAATCATATACGCATAACCAGATACTAGCATACAGAGTAACCATCAGGCCCTACTCGGTAAGCATACAAGCACATACACATGCAAGAGTTACACATACATATAACACCCTAAATAACAAACCATGGGCTGGCATTGGTGCCTTCGACCTGCTAAACACAGTGAGGAAACTCACCTCGTACTGCCGAATCTCACAGAAAGAATCTCTAGCTGTTGGCCAGCAAGAATGCCTGCGCTATCAATCACAAATTAATCATCCATCAATAATCGGATCCGACCCAAACTAAGTGTCCAAAATAGGGTAAAAGACCTTTTTACCCTTTTCATAACTTGGCCAAAAGCCAAGGCCCAATCTAACAATCCAAAAGGCCCAATAACCCATTAACCATCCAAGGCCCAAACATGGCCCAATTTTCCAAATTGGGCCCAAACCCTTTCATGGGCCTTACCCCAAGGTCCAAAAATATTCCTAGAACAAAACACTTGAAATCAAATGACCCGACAAAGCCCTAAACATCTAAGCCCAAAATAATGGCCCAAACCGGAGCCCAAACGTCCGAAGCCCAAACGTCCGAAGCCTAACCTGCTGAGTACGCTGGGCGTACTCTGCTGTACGCTAAGCATACACGCATTAGGACTTGTACATTGCGCGTACAGGCTTGTACTCCCAGCGTACTCCTCTATTCAGCCAACTTCCAATTTTCAGCTCCTAATCCATTAAGACTTTACTCCAAAACTTAGATCTGACTTTGTTGGGATGGATTATCACGTAAAGTTGCTAAGTTTACGTGCATGCATGGCTTAATGGAACTCTTAAGCTCAAAAATGACTTAATATTTGACTTAACACATGCATGAGACCATAAACATCATAAAGCTTGCACCTTTAAGCTTAAGAATCTCATAATATACCCATATCCAAAAGAATAAGTCCATCAAACAACTTAACCCATCAAACCAACCCAAAAGGGACCAAAAGCATATCAAATCATGATATGAAGAGATCTAAGTAAGGAGAAGACAATGTATGAACTTGATACCTCAAAAGACTTGCAAAAAGGGTGATGATTCTAGATCTATAAACTTCACACCAAGCAAAGCACCTTCAATCTTCTTTACTTCCTTCAAAAAGAGAAAAATAACCACCAAATTCTTCTCAAGAGCTCAAAGACACAACAATGGAGGTTAAGGGTCGAGATTTAGGGTTTTGGGGCAATGAAGGCTGATAAAGAGGCCAACCCTAGGGACTTAAGGACTTTATATAGGGTGCAACACCCTAAAATTAGGGTTTCTTAATCTCCGAGTACGCTAAGCGTAACCCTCGTACGCCCATCGTACGAGGCCTCGCAGCCCCGACCAACATCACCTTAGTACGCTAAGCGTACCATGTGGTACGCCCCACGTACTAGCTTCGCAGCTAGTACGCTAAGCGTACCATGTGGTACGCCCTACGTACTACTCCAAGGACCAAAATGCAACAGTTAGTTACAAAGGGGCTAAAAAGGAACAATCCCAAATTCAGATGTTACATATTGTTTCAAATCTATATTTTTAGAATTGGTTATAGTATAAAATATTAAATAATAATAGTAATAATAATACACAAGAGAGAGCCTAATCGTATATTTATTGAATACTTGGATGATATTGTTGATAGATGATATGATCGTACCAATTGAATTATTGGATGATATTTTAAGATATATAATCTGCTATTCAGAAGTTAAAAACTTCAACATATAAATTTGAGAGTAACTCATTTCATAAATTTTCGCTGTTTGTTTCTTAAGGATCAATGATCTTTATATAGACAATATTTTACAAAGACGACATGTGACTAACTATTGTTAGTCAACTTATATATAGTTATATACTATTACTAATGCTATGTGTCATATTGACACGGTACTCGACTTAGGGCACTATATGGGGGGGGGGGGGGGTAGGTTTGTGGGCTTATTGTCGGATTCTAACTTAGCATTTCGCTAGTTTGAACAAAGTCTTGTCGTTAAAAAGAAGAAGAAGAAAGACTTGATGTGATAAGTTCCTCGAAGAATATAGAAAATAATGAGTTTATGTATTCCATTTGGGTAACAAAGGATAAACTATTATAAAGTAGACTAAAATGTAGGAACTTTTTGAGAGAAATCCTCAAAATCTCTTATGATTTTGGAGAAATATACTTTGAAAATTATGCCCAAATCATTTAAGTAATGTAATTAAGATTAGCAATTGCAAACTTATAATAAACTAATGATTTATTAAACTTTAGACATATTACATAAGCTACCCGTATGTTTTTAATTTTTGTTGCTTTACATAATATGTGTTCATTAGGACGTCATGTACGAGTTGTGAGTTTGTGTGTGAAGATATCCTCGTCGTCATTGTTCAACTACGCACCAGCATCTCCGATTCATTAGGAGAGTTCTTTCGTCCCAAATCAGATTTGGATCATCGTCAAGAAAACGCTACTGTAATCTGAAAAAACCCTCAAGATTTTCTTGGCTACTAATCTTCTACCCTCGATCCCTGCTCCGATTCGGAACACCTGACGCAATTCGATCGATCTTTTCAAGAAAATATAGGCTTCCCATCAGTCGAATTGTCATGGAATGTACATAGCGTGGATTTCAGTTTCTTTCAGGCATATCATCGAACATTTGGTGTGCTTTCGGACAGACTAAATTGTTGGATCGTGACTAAATTGGAGTAATGTCGCTCCCGTTAATGAAACTTGGGACGCTTGCACTAAGAACCCTAAGCAAACCCATTGCCAGTAGACTTAAAAAAGAAGCCGCCATTAACCCCAAATTTCGAACCTCCATTATCGGCATTGCTCAGGTACTGTTACTACAAGAATCGGTATTTCTTCACATTTGTAGTTGATTTATAGATGTTCCCATATTATTAGTATTTGATTTTAATTGTTTTGTTCTTGTTTGTGATTATGATCGAAGATTAAACAACCAATTTTTGTTTCTTTTAATCTTTTATTGGATGGATGGAGTACTACAACAACATAATGTTCTTCATTTATAGAATCACAAACTAAAATGTTGAACCAACATATAACCAATACTCATTGGCTGCATTTTATTCGATGTTTCGACTTTTAATCATTGTGTACGTAATGAATGAATCATGATATATCTATTGTCATGTTTGGTTAGCTCGAATGAAATGAATTAATCATTTGAAAGTTGAAAGATGTTGTTTATTATTACTACATATAGCAAAGTAAATAAACAGATAAATAAAAGAATGTTAGTTTATGAAAATAAATTTTAATTATATGATATAATAATAGGCAAATCATAGGCTCACAACAACGTTACAAAGGAGAATATATGGACATGCAACGGATGTTGAGATTAGACCTTTGAATGAAGAAAGAGCTGTTCAAGTAGCTGGGGACCTTATTGGAGAGCTTTTTGTTTTCACGGTATTCAAACATTCCTCCTAAATTGTACTTATCATATATATATATTTTTAATTATTTTAATGTCGTTTTAGATTTTGAATATTTAATTAGGTTGCTTGTGGTGCCTTGATTTTTGAGGTGCAAAGAAGTGCTAGATCAGAAGCTAAAAGAGAAGAAATTCGTAAGCGAGAAATAGAGGTAACGATTTAAATCTTTAATATCTTGAGCAAATTTGATGTAGTAGGAATGATTACATGTCTTCTTGCTTTTTTGTGTAACAATCACAACCTAAAAGTTATGTTGTTCTTGCTATTTTGTTTTTTTTTTCTTCTTTATTAATATAATAAATGATCTTGAGTAATTTACTTTTACTTTTTTGGTTGATAGATTATGAGGCAACGAGATGAAGATATAGCAAAACAAATGGAGTTTCTTATGAAAAAGCTCGAAGAACTTGAAAAAGCCACCAAAGGAAAAACATTGACTAGTAGTCAAACCAACAATGTCAAGTGAACGAAATCATTCTCTTGATTTTTGTTTTTCTAACCATTGATTTGGCTACAAAATAATTCAATTATATTTGATTCTTGATTGATGTGTATTGGACAAAACTCTTTACATCTTATAAAAAAGGTTGTTTTGATAACACAAATATAGACCAAGAACAATTTACACGAAAATTTGTACTGGTTTTATTTTTGGAACAGATAATGTAGCTCATTTTTGCATTCTTGATTGATTGATTATCTTAAATAGTAGTATTATGTAGGTAGAATGGAAATCTCTTCATTGCATTATTAATATGCTCATGGTATAATCTTGCAAGAAAGAAGCACAAGATGCTTATTCTCTTCAATAGTTGTTATACTCTTGAAAAAGTCGGATATATTCTGATCGATCATGTTATATACTTTTTTCTTACGTGGGTTTTATTTATATAAAAAGAGGTAAAAGATGTTTTTGTGCCTTGTGGATCTCATTTACTTTAAAAAGTGAAATCCCAAATTGAGGATAGAGAATGGTCAATACCATAGTATTCTTATCCTGTAGGTTTTTTTATCAGCTCTCTCTCTCTCTCTTTTTTTTTTTTTTTTTTTTTTTTTTTTTTTGAATGTTGGGTTAAATAATTTAAAAACCTATTTGAGGAAATGACAGTGTATATGAGAAATAAAAGTAAAAAAATAAATAAGAGCAAATTTGTAAAAAAGTTTATCCCTTAACAAGAAAAGCTTGTTTTCCTCAATTTCATTATTAAGTCACTGAAAGTTGGAAACAATAAGTTTATTAGTTAAAAATGTTTGAAAAAATAATAATATGCATTTCAAATGTGTAAATTTATATTAAAGCTAGAAACCACAAGCTAAGAACTCCTTAAAATAGTTGAAGTAGCTTCTCGATTCCGAGTTTTTGTTCTAAATTGAAAATTGAAAATTTGTACTTCTAAACATTTTTTTTTAATTCGAGTTTAAAAAGAGAAAAAAAAAACTAAGGTTGCCTAACAAAGCATAAGTAAAAGAACAAACAGAGCATCATTTATTTTCTAATCATTTTTTGTTTAAATGATGTGGAAAATTGGAATTAATGGATAGAAAATAGAGTCCATGAACCTACAATGTGATGCTTTCAAGACTTTTTGTATATGGAATTGGAGCATCAAGAATTGCCCTCAAAAGAATCTAATGAATGGTTGTGGATTGTATGCTCCTTTATGCCTTTCTTGCTATTCTAATCTTCCCCTTGCCATCCCACACAACCTTCTCATCTTTAGTTCTATTTACATGGAAATGAATGGATGAAAATGAGCCGATAAGTTTAGTCAGATGACATGGTAAAACGGATAATTTTAATACAAGTTAAACAAATAATAAACCGCACTATCTGATTTGTCCATGTCAACTCACCCCATGACCATGTCACAGGTAAATCATACAACACTAGTAATATTTTAGGTTTGTTGGGATTCGATCATTGGATCTACTATGTCGAATTTCATACCTTAACCATTAAACCCCATCGAAAGATCAATACAGGTTAAAATGAGATGGGTTAAGTTGGATTCACATACCAATATTTTTTTGTGCTTTTTTGCTATGAGTTTTATAAGTATATAATATCTTAAAAATGATTATAAGAACTAACTATTATTAAAATAATATAAATGATGTATTAAAAGAATTGGGAATTTTCGACCAATTTGATCTAAACAAGATAAGATATAATGCAAAATAATTTTGGTTTTAAATAAATAAATCAAAATTATGACCAATAATATGAACAAAATTATCTTGTTAGAAAAAATAATTGCTAAAGAGAACCTCCATGCATTTTGATTCTAAGGATATTACGGTATTACCCAATCACCCGTCCTCAAATTACAATGTTATTTCTTTGGATTTGTTTCTATACATTTCCTTAATTTGTTTCTAAAATTGTTACTCCATCAATTTTATGCTTTTATTGATGGTTACCATGGAGATTCGGTTCTCAATGATTCTTATTTTAATTTTCTTTAATTTATTAATTTTATTCATAAAGAATATTTAATTTTTTAAATTCATATTTTTATTACTTTAAGATTTAAGATGAAACGAAAAGATTTCTATTTTTGTTTTCTCATGGTCTAAATTTTAAATTTATTTTGGAATAAATTGTATAGAAGGAAAATATTCCGAACATATTTTTAGGTTATGTAATTAATATTTTCAGATAAAAGTTTTAGTATCTATTATTTTTTTGTAGCATTTTAGGGGTTACACATTCATTTATACTTTTATTTGGTAGGTAATAAAAAGTTCATTTAGGACACACTGTTTTTGTAAGACATGAATGCAACTATGGCCACATATTTTGTAGGCCAAAAAAAAAATTAAAAAAAATACAAAAATAATGCTTTTGCATTAATTTTTTTAATATCCACAAAATATAAAAAGAATTACAAAAAAACTTTCTTATGAAATATTATAATGTTCATAATAAATATAAATAGAGTATTTGTAATATTTTATAAGAATATTGTTAAACTTTTATAGCAAAATTTATATTGTTATACTACTAGTAATATTCTATAAAAAATATAGTAAATGATTTTAAAAATTTATGCTGTACTATTCCGATAATATACTACAAATTATATTTTTATTAATAATATTATGTTATAACAATTCATTAAAACGATCATGTATGACCATTGTAATATTATTATAGAATTTTACATATTATTTTTTTAACCTCAAAATGTATATTAAAAAACCGATATCCATGTAGGTTTGATGTCAGGAGTTTGACTATTTGACTCTGTTAAATTTGTATCTTTCAATTATGCTACATATGTAAGAAATTTTCCTTGAAAATCCTATTGAGGCAGAATTTGCCATGTAAAAAAGCTCGAATTCGCGATCATCATTGAAATATTGCAGTGAGACTTCTACAAAATCGTTTGCTCCAAAAAAATATAACAAAAATAGCTCCATTGCAAATGAACCCTTCCTTAATTTAGTATACTTATCATATAAACAATTAATACGCCTTAGATTTTTGTTAGATTTGAAAAATTATAAATTTTGGACGAATAAATCATAGACCCAATATTACATTAGGGTCCCTTTTTATTTTGTTCTTTTGACCGAGAGATTGTAGCAATGAAAAAAGCTCAAAAAAAATGCTATGATTATTTTAATTTGATTAAAGTCTTTACCTTTTCGAACTTCACTTGGGGCTACTTAGCTTAGGGATAATGACTTGAAAGAGTAACAAACTTTCAATTTTGTTCACATTTAGTCACTAAACTTTATTTCGTTATCTATTTGCCATTGAACTATTGAAACTGTTCACATTTTACCCTTATGACCGGTTGTTACCGGTCATAAGGGTAGAATGTGAACAATTTCAATAGTTCAATGGCAAATAGATAACGAAATAAAGTTTAGTGACTAAATGTGAACAAAGTCGAAAGTTCGTTTCCCTCGAAAAAGTTCAATGACTAAATGTGAACAAACTTCCTCTTGTATTATGTTTTAGCAAATTATTTATTTTTGTTAAAGTTTAGTGTCTAAACCCCTCCCCCTTTTTATAATTGAAAAATGATTATAAAACCAAAAAGGGAATGAGAAAGCGCTCAATTCAGAATTTTCTATCCAAAACTCCCCTTTTATGACATGAGAGAAAGAGAGAGAGAGACATGTAAACACCTCTATATAAGGTGGGTTCATACCACATGTAGAGGTGTGCTTGAGAGATGTAACATTGAGAGTGTTAGTGTGTGTTAATTATGTAGATTTAGATCTAAATCCTTTTTGTAAATCCAAAATCAGATTGGAGATGGTTCATACCACATGTAGAGGTGTGCTTGAGAGATGTAACATTGAGAGTGTTAGTGTGTGTTAATTATGTAGATTTAGATCTAGATCCTTTTTGTAAATCCAAACCAATGGTCATAATTCACATCAGTGAGAATGGTTCATTTTTTTGTAAATCCAAAATCATATTGGAAATTTTGATTTTTTATTTTGGAAAATGTCAAACCATTGGTTTTTTATTTCGGTTTCGGTTTTTTGTTTTTTTTTTAAATATATTTTCAGGGTTTTGTGTTTTTTTTTTATTTCATAGATTTTTTCATCAACAAATGTTGCTACAATTTAACAAAAATAAATAATTTGCTAAAACATAATACAAGAGGAAGTTTGTTTACATTTAGTCATTGAACTTTTTAGAGGGAAACGAACTTTTGATTTTGTTCACATTTAGTCACTAAACTTTTTTTCGTTATCTATTTGCCACTAAACTATTGAAATTGTTCACATTTTACCCTTATGACCGGTAACAGCCGGTCATAAGGGTAAATGTGAACAGTTTCAATAGTTCAATGACAAATAGATAACGAAAAAAGTTTAGTGACTAAATGTGAATAAAGTCGAAAGTTTGTTACCCTTTCAAGTCATTATCCCCTTAGCTTATATCACAATATTTTCATCTGAAAGTGTTTTTAAATAAAACATATATGGTTTAACATTCAAATTATATAATTATATAACACCTAAATTATTAAAAACGTATTCACTTATGTGCAAAAAAATTAAATATATTATATATATATTTTTTATAAAAGTTATACTACATTTTAATAAAAGTAAACTTTGAAAATAATAGTATTAAAGTAACAGTTCGTTCGACGTATATATATATTCCCCTAAGAACTTTTGGCGCCGAGATGCAATTGACCACTTTGAGGTGGAGGGTACCAAATTCTCTCTTTATGATCCAAACCCTTGCTAAATCTCTAACTCATCCGCATCTCGAATATCAAAACAAGTAATCTGTAATCTCTTTTCCCAATCTTTACTAGTTCGTTTTCAATTTTGTTGGTTTTGCTCGACATTTTGTTATTTCTGTTTCCTGTTTGATTCCAGTTCGTTTCTAGTAGTTTGATTGAGAAATAGTGATTTTATATTGGTGTATCGAACACTGTATCGAATTCTGAGTTTGAATTCGCTTTAGATTTTTCGGGTTTTTGTGAAATCGGATGCTTTTGGTGTTGAATTTTTGCAGGTGATTGTTGGAGGGAAGAGAGAGAAATTACGTCATATCATTCTCTTCTTCGAATGAGGAGAGGTGCAAAGTCACACAGGATATTCAAAGACAGGGCTATGAACCGCGTTGATGATCTTCAAGGCATGTTCATGGATCTGCAATCTGCAAGGAAGGACAGCCGTAACATCGACATGGCTGTACTCGAGGAACAAGTTCATCAGATGCTCAAAGAATGGAAGAAAGAACTTAACGAACCTTCTCCTTCTCCTTCTCTGCAACAGGTATGGCATATAGCTATAGTCTATTTCCGTGTGTTTTTTTGGATGTTATTGTGATTTAATCAGCAGTTTGAATGTGTGTTCTCATTTACTTTCTTGGATTTTTTATGCAGGGTGCAAGTTTAAGATCCTTTTCGCCAGACATAAGTAGGTTATTGCAACTCTATGATGAAGAAGATGATGCAACCAGTGGGTTGGCTGCTCCAAAACCCGATCCAGATGCCCAAAACGCCACTCAAAATGCTACTTTCCACAAGGTGAATATTTTGTCTTTTGATTCTTACACCAGTTACATGACCTATGATTTAAAGATTAATGGAAAACTTATATGTAAATGTTACAGAACTTTCTTGCAACTCAGATGTGTCAAGAACAAGGGGTGGATACGTCTTTTGGGATAAACACAACAGGAGTACATAATCCAGGTGTAGATACACAATTTGATTATATATCATTTGATATGCCACGTGGATTTGAGCAAAACTGTAATGATGGAGTTTATGGTATGTGGGGTGAAGATGCTTTACCTCAAATCACTACCTATCTGCCTAACATTTGCCCTCCACCTTCTGCTTTTTTGGGACCAAAATGTGCTCTTTGGGATTGTCCCAGACCGGCTCAAGGGTGGTGCTCTGAGAGGGCGGTTCAATGGTGGTGCACCAATTATTGCAGCGGTTTGCATGCTACAATAGCTCAAAATGAAGGTCAACCAGGGATGACACCTGTCATAAGACCTAAAGGCATTGAGTTGAAGGATAATTTGCTTTTTGCTGCACTTTGTGCAAAAGCACAGGGGAAAACGGTTGGTGTTCCAGAGTGTGAAGGGGCAGCCACTGCAAAATCACCATGGAATGCTCCCGGTGAGGCTACTCGTCTTTTTTTTTTTTTTTTGTCATTCAAGTGTTTAATTATTTATTACATGACAGGACATAAGAGACTGTGTTCGACATGTATTATTGGACTACGACTGAGACTGATGTCAATGGGACAAAAATTGCACTCCTTTGTCCCACCCAAAAAAGGTGAAACAAGGTGGGGCATGGACTTGTCCTTGATCTCTCACATGTGAAAAAGACGAAAATACCCTTCTCGTCCTTTTCATCAAAATAGCCCTAGAAAGCTTGTTGAGTCTTGGCCTGTCACCTTCAGTCCTATCCCGGGACGGGATAGGATAGGATTGGATCGGACAAGACTGAACAAGCTCTCTAAGGCTATTTTTGATGAAAAGGACGAGAAGGGTATTTTTGTCTTTTTCACATGTGAGAGATCAAAGGCAAGTCCATGTACCATCTTGTTTCACCTTTTTGGGTAGGACAAAAGAGTGTAATTTTTGTTCCATTGACATCAGTCTCAGTCGTACTCCAATACATGTCAAACACAGTACTGTAACACACTAACACACTCTGTACAATATATGTTATGTACTGTCGTGTCATGTCGTATAATATTGTTTCTAACGGTGAACTTTTTTTCAGAGCTCTTTGATCTCTCGGTTTTTGAGGGAGAAACACTGCGCGAATGGTTATTTTTCGATAAACCGCGAAGGGCATTCGAGAGCGGAAACAGAAAGCAAAGATCACTCCCGGATTACAACGGGAGAGGTTGGCATGAATCAAGAAGACAAGTAATCAATGAATCCGGATGGCTAAAAAGATCCTATTACATGGACCCACAACCCATGAAGTTCATCGAATGGCACCTCTACGAATACGAAATCAACAAGTATGACACTTGTGCATTATATAGATTAGAACTAAAACTTGTTGACAAAAAAAAGAGCCCAAAAGGAAAGATTGCTAATGAATCGGTTATCAATCTTCAAAAACAAATGGGGAGACTTAAAGGAAGGGGAAAAGGATGTGCGACTGTTTACCCTGATTTGAGCCAAACGAAACGAACATTGGATGGTGAGTATGGAGGAAACACGGGATTTAACTATCTTATTGAGGATCTTGGTGGCTACTACTTAACATAATTTGAAGAAAATTTGAGAAGGGTTTTTTGTTTTTGCTTAGAAAGATTAAAAAACACTAATGTTGACATGTTTTTATATATAGGTTGCTTTTGGCAATATAATAACACATTATGATCTTGTTTATGAAGATTTTGAATCATTGGTATTGTGATTTTTTTTTTTCTAATTCAATAAGGATGTATAAGATTGAATATAGTTTATTCAATCTTTAAATCAATAATATAATTTTTGTGTATTCCATACATTGCGTAGCAAATCATGAACGTTTTGGCCAAAATACTTTTCATGAGCACATACTTGTAAAGTTGTAATAAGTGAATATGCGCCAACAAATTATGAAGACTTCAAAAACATGAAGTTATCTTGATGACCTAAGCTCAAAGCTTCTTTCGATCTCCATAGCTTAATTTTAAAAGCATGAGGTGTTGATCATTTTACAATAATCAAATATTCATTTCTTAAATAGAGTAACACCCCTGGTAGGGTCTTTAAAAATAATATCTTATAACATCGTTAAAGATTAAAAAAGAAAAATTCATCATAGCGGTAGTCACATTAGAATTTCAAAGTTCAAACCATTTTAACAAAAAGGTGAAATTTATTTAATTCAAGGACGAGAATTTAAACGTTCATAGCAACGGATTATTCTGTACCTAAGACATGTTATCTCTAGATATTTAATAATTTTTTCACAAAATTTAAACGTCTATAGAAATGAATTTTTCTACCGGATGGCTTTGGAAAAAGGCTAACTACGACGAATGTTTCAACCACCATAAGACAAAATGACGAACCTTAAGAGCATAAGGTATATTCACAATACATTACTCTAAAAAGTCTCATCATCTTAACGTCACATCACCTTAACGCCACATCATCTCTACTTCCACATAAATACTTAGAAATTCCTCACCTCTCAACATCATATGCATCGTTTTATTTTTATTATTTAAATACAACACTTGTATAAAAAAGTTACATTCCCAAAACTAAGTGAAATTTTCATTAATAAAAATTACATCAAACTTAAAGAATAACTACTTTAATAAAAAAAATTAAAAAAAATATAGTTATATCTTTCTCTAATTCCCCGTTGCTAAAACATTTGGAGCTCTTCTGGTGACAGATATTTGGTAGTCGTCATGTTCAAAATTTATATTGGAAAATATTTATTGTTGTCGTCTCGCTTCATTTTTAATGCTTATTTTTTTCTTTAGCAAGTAAATATGTTCGTCCAGTTTTTCCAAAAGTATTTGCGCTATATTCCTTTCGCATATGATTTTTTTTTCTCAACGAAGATGCCACGCCATTTTCCTTTGTTCCTTCCATGTTCCAATCAGTTGTTGAAGGGATACTTCCGGTGGACATTCTTCAACGTCATCGTTGAGCTCAATTCTTGTATCGATGTTCGACATATTTGTGTAGTCATTTGACTCTGACGTTTTGTTGGAGTCCGTAGATTGCGAGAGCACTTCCAGATTAAGCACCCAATTCAGACACACTTTCATATAACTAGCCATGCTTTTATGGCTAAATGATTTACCATCGTTGGTGGTCCAATATTGTTGAAGTTTGATATTTAAAATGTTGAAATCGTTGGATCCATTTTTATGCATATTCATAAGATTATTGAACATATTGTTAAAGTTGGTGCAACTAGCTCTTAACCCGCATCATTTTCCATAAACATTGTTGTTACTCCGCTAAAAGCCTTTTCCTTTCTTGGCTTGGAAGAGGTCTAAAACGTTTCCCAAAAAAGCTTTTGAAGATTGGTGGTTGGCGTTATGTTTATCTTCATATATAAATATCAAAGCTCGCGATAATGCCGTTTTCTCGTCTTCAGTTCAACTTCTAGGACATTTGTTTGTCTTCATTTTGGGTTTTCTTTTTGAAGTGTTCCGGTACCGATTTGTCTTTGTCTTTGGAAAGTTGGACTTTAAAAGGTTGAAATTGAAAATGGTGAAATTGTTGAGAGTACTCATTTGTTTGGAATGAGTTCGGTTGTTGGAAGGTGTTTTGTTGGAATGGGGTTGGTTGTTCGAAGGTGTTCGGTTATTGGAAGTAATTTTGTAGAAATGGATGTTGGCAAAGGTGCCCGTCTTGAATTCGTGAGCCTTATAACATATTCATGAATCCACTAGTAGAAATGTGAGTACTGTAGAGGTGTTGTGTTTAGTATTTAGTGCATACAAACCGATGGGTGAATCAATTTTGTATGTTTGACATGTTTGAGTTTTGTTCCATAGTTTGATTTAAATTAAAGGGAAAAAAATTATAAAGAGTATGAATTATAGAGTATAAAAATAATTAAATAGATGTTGTAGTGTGGAAATGTGTATGATAATTAGCTAGTATTTATAAGTAAAATTGAAATATCTATTTTTTTACAAAAGCGCATAAACAAAGTTATTCCACATCTCTCTCTCTCTCTCTCTCTCTCTCTCTCTCTCTCTCTCTCTCTCTCTCTCTCTCTCTCTCTCTCTCTCCTCCAGAGTTATTCCTCATCACAACCACACCACATAGGGCGGTGTTTACACGTCTACGTGAACGCAAGCCATCCCATGCTATTTGCATGGTGTGTATATCTCATGGTCTTGTAGTGACAAGTGTTGACATTTAGTATTTACAATGACAATTTTTTTTCTTACGGTTGGTTATTGGTTAGAAATTAAATTCATCAAGTTAGTTAATTTGACTATGTTCGTGTTTAAACTCGGGACCTCCAATGTAAGAGGTGTAAGAAAATCGTGATAAAATAGCCTTGAAAATTCTGAGAATTGTGGTTTCACTTTCAGATTAAAGTATTTGGGTGAGACTCCTAATCTTTAATCGGATAAGACTCAGAGAGAGACAAGAACAAAGAATGTTTGATGATATTTCGTATGTACCAGAAAATGAGACCAAAAACCAACTTTTAGATCATTGTCTGAAAACTGTCATATGACAGTTTTAAACTGTCATAGAACTATAAAAACTGTCATAAAACGGATATATGGATAAGGGTCAAACCAATGGTCAATTATCTGAAAAATCAATTTTCTGATGCATTTTTAATATAGCAACATACCCTATATAAAAAATTTTCGCGCTGACCTGGCAGCTTGACCCCAGCCAAGGGCTCTGCCCCTTCGACCCCGCCAGGGGCTGCCGCCCCTTGGACCTCGCTCCCAGGGGCGCTGCCCCCGGACCCCCGTTCGTTCAGGGGCTTCGCCCCTAAATGACAGTGTACTTTGAAACTTGATGAAACTTAAACAAGTGTGTACTCCACACCTTCCTTACTTGTTTAATATTTATCAAGATCACTTTTGGTCAACAAACTAATCCCATTACACTTAAATAAAATTGATGATAACAAAATCACCAACAAGAGGCTTCCAGCCTTCCACGTCTACCAAGTGGGCTACTCCTACATTGACATTTACAATGACAACTTCCCTATATACATTGAAGAAGAATCAAATTATCAAATATAGATGAAAGTAAAAAAGCTATATATCCCTAAACTAATTTAGATAACTATTCCCTAATATATGCAATAACTAAAAAAAACTATACAAAATAGAGGCCCTGATTGGACCTAAAAACCAAAAAAGAGAAAATTGTCAACGTCCCTGCAGAAGGAGTCGCGTTGCAAAATCCGCCATAAAAGAAACACACCGCGGTCGTTTCCGTCGTTGACTCTTTCTCTTGCGATTCCAATTTCGTCGAAATTGTTGATGTGGCAAAAATCGATCAAAGGTGCTTAAATAAGATTCTATTGCCACTTCTTTAGCATCGCAAACGACATATTTCCTACTATTCAATGTACAAGGTGGCAAGGTGCCCAAAAACGTAGTATTCTTCACCCGAAATCATCGATCAATAGATATAAAGATATGTTCTTTCAGACTTTGCAACACCTAGCTTTCATGAGAGTAGATGTGTTTTTATATATATTACCTAGAGCAACACTTGGCTTTCTTCACAGCAGACACGTCATCTTTGTCTCCAATATTTATTGTCTGCCCTTTAAGTACAACCGATGGCTCGTTAGCGATGCCAAGGGCCTTCCGGCTCATAACACGATAAATCTGGGTAAGCACTTCCGTGAACGCTTTCTCAACGTTCAGTGACTCGAGAGCTGATGTTTCCATGAAGAAGACGTTCTCTCTTTCGGAAAAAGCCTTGGCCTCATCTGTTGTCACAGCCCTTAAGTGTCCGAGATCGGCCTTGTTTCCTACGAGCATGATGACAATGTTTTGGTCTGTGTGTTCTCGGAGTTCCTTTAGCCATCGCTCGATGTTATAAAATGTTACCTTTCGGGTGATGTCGTATACGATCAGTGCACCCACTGTTCCTCTGTAGTAAGCACTCGTGATGGCTCGGTATCTGAAACGTAACATAAATCAACACCGTGATAACCTTGTTTCAATCGATGAATGCTAAATTCTTTAAAAAGTTAAGAACTTTAGCAAAAGATATTTCATGTTTCATGAAAGAAGACCGGACCCACGACAATTTGTTGATTCATTAACATGAAAAACACGAACACGAGTTTTTTTTCATGGGTTCGAACAATCTTTATTATGAAAGATAATACCTTTCTTGTCCAGCAGTGTCCCATATTTGCCCCTTGATAGTTTTGTCATCAACACGGATGCTACGAGTGGCGAATTCGACCCCAATCGTGGACTTGGAATCAAGGCTGAATTCATTCTTGGAGAAACGTGACAAAAGGTTAGATTTACCTACACCTGAATCACCGATCAAAACTACCTTATACAAGTAATCATAATCGTCGTCTGTATATGATGCCATTTCTCTTTCCCTCTGTGCACAGATTTGTGTTTATGGTTGAGATAGAGAAACCATGTTCAGAGAGATGAAGATGAATGGAACACATGAGGCGATTTGGGTTGTTGTTACAGGCTTCAGAAATTTAGGGAAAAAGAGAGGTCAAAATGGAGTTTGTGTGTAATAAAATATTGGCATGGTACAGCGGACCATATAAAGGAATCCTAATCGCCTAATCCAAACATTGTATGTAATGATCTGAGGCTATTTAAGGCATATGATACATGCATAAGTACGTAGGATGGGTTAAAAAACAAAATTATATGGGAAATTAAACCACAAAACTTCGTGATAACCAATTAATTATTTTTAAACAAAATTCTTTAAAGGAACCCTATAGTAAGGC